GTGTGATAATATTATTGATCTCTTCCTTTATCAGCCACAGTATCTTAAGGCAATTCAGATGATGTGTCCACATATTCATCACTATTTGACTACAGTAGTCATAACAAACAAAGGTATTCAAAACTGCCGGCAGATGCTGAAAGATCTAGTCAAAGTTATTCAACAGAAGTCTTATATAAAGACCCAATTACAGAGTTTGTCGAATGTTTATATGTTAACTTTGACTTTGATGGGCTCAGAAAAAGCTGAGGGAATGTGAATCTGTGCTTGTGAATGACTGCTTGGAAGCTTGACTTGAGGATTTTATTGAAAATGCTTATCTCTTCCTACTTGAGGTTTTTTGTTGCATTCACCAGTGTATCAGCACTAACGTGTTGGCAGATAAACCGAACATGACTCCAGATGAAGCTGAGAGGTGGATTAGAAATGAGAGACTAGGTGCCAAGATTGATTCTAAATGAGGTCATTGCGGTTATCGGTAACAATGCAGTTTCACTCTATCAGCCTTTCATTTGGCAGCCAGATGGTGGCCATGAGTGTTGAGAAGACACTTAATTACAATAGTAGGTTAGAAGCTCCTAACTGGGCAACTCAAGATTCTGGCTGCTACCAAAGGATTGTAAAGAAAAGACAAACAAAAACCTATAAAATAAAAATGAAATAATAAAACCATTATATAAAGGGTGAGATACATTTTAGAAACAACACATTGAGTATAAATTTTGGAGAATTTGAATAAATTGGCTGTGTTTCATTAAAAAATAGAAACAATGCTATATAATCATTGTACCAAAATTCCACCAGTCTCTACTGTGGTGTAAAAAGGAAAAGCAGAGAACAGGTTCACAGACTCCCACTGCACACACGTGATGCGTATTTGACACCGCTCCTGTGTGTGGAGTCTGTTTATTCCTCACCCTTTTCCAGAAAGGAAAAAATAAAAGCAACTTACAAAAACCATATAAATTAGGACCCCAAGTAAAGTAAGCAAGAAATTAGGGTGGGGATGGAAAATAAAGCCAGCAATGATGCCAACACATGCACAGCACAAAGAACTATACACTTAGTTTGGGTGGGGGACACGTTTGGCTCTGGTTTTCTAGCAGTCATTACAGAATGAGAAAACTGGTGATGATGTCACAAAATAAATACAGTTGCTCAGAAAAAATTACAAACTTTTTTCACATAAAGAACAGTTAAAGTTTTCTTCCAGAGTTTTTATAAAGAGGATTCTATATGATTTAATAAGCAATGCCTAGCAACACTCTTCCCATGCCCAAATAGAGGTTCTTGGCTGATTGTTATAGTGGCCTTGAATGCAGGTGATGGCATTATATCAAGGATTATCTAATAAAATATTTTGGAATGAGCTAATCTTACTGTCAAGCTCTATGAAAGGTTGAGATTTTACTGTACATGCAAGCTCACATGCATGGTACATGGTTGCTGGCAGGAGACACAACACTCCCAGGTCAAAGACAAAGGACTGTTTATTTACTCATAGCAATAGTGGTAGCCTCAGTATCAGTACTCGTGCCAATTATAGGAGCCCCCATTCCCTAGGGCAGCCCAAAGGAGGTACAGGTGACACTTATACATGCCACAGGTTGCATTAGGGGAAAGCAGCCCTGAGCTTAGGGACTTTGAGTCTTTGATAATAAGAGGTGAGCATGTATTCCCTTTGCTCCAGAGGGAAACTTTATTATTTGGCACACTAAACAAACTTCTATCTTCCAAGGCTGTTTTATATATAAACATTCTTGAAAAGATAGTCTGGAGCACAGGGAACCAATGCTTCTTCTCATTAGATGTACAGAAATGTGAGGGACACTTGGAGAGTTGTCTCCCAACAACTGTATAATCCAGTCATACTCTAGCTTTCTCTGGCTGGATTCAGAGCTAACCCTTAGACTCTCTGGAGGAACCGATGACTTGTGCTTCACTGGATACTTACTCTCATACTCACTGCATTCTCATCATATGCACCGGGTACTGCGATAGATAAAAACAGCCACACATGGTTCCTGCCTTCACAGAATAAAGAATACAGACATATTTTATGTGTTTTTTTCCAGCAGTTCTTCCTAGATGTTCTCTCAATGAGATTTTTAAAATAGAATTTTTTAAATACTGCAGTTAAGTCTCTTTTTATTTTTCAATTTATTAAAACACAATATTTCAGAATAAGATTATTGTTCTTTAACCATGTCATACCACATTTAATTCTCAAAAAGACCCTTTGAAATAAATGACTTTTTCATCTCAGCATTTCAGATAGGAAAAGTAAAAGGCATTATATCTTCTTTAAAGTCACAATACCTATCACAGCAGTTTTAGGTTCACAGCAAAACCAAGCAGAAGATAGAGGTTTCTCATATAACTACTCCCTGACCCCACACTTGCAGAGATGGACCATACACCCTCTGCCCTTCCCATTACCAACATCCCTACCAGAGTGGTACAATTGATGAGCCTAAATTGACACATTGTTATCATCCAGGGTCTATATTTTTACATACAGTTCACTCTCAGTGCTGTGCATTCTATGAATGTGAATAAATGGTAAAACAGGGTTTTCAACAGATATTGGTTAACTCTATAATCTCACAAGCAATGGGGCTTTACATTTCTATATTTCTAGATAAATGCAGACACTAGTGGCATTTGAACCAGAGTTTAGTACTGGCATTCGAGGCATCCTGCTGTGACAACTGACAGGCCTCACAGAGCCTCTCCAGTGCACCCAAAGTCAGATGGAAATTCTTCCCTGAAGATGGCCTTCAGGCCTCTAATGATTATAAGACCACAGCTCTGAAGTTTTCTTCCATGTGGCATAGCACTTAGAGTCCTTCTGAGGTATTTGTCCACCTCCTGTTTGGGCTGGGACTCTGACATGACAGGAAGCGTTTTGTTCCCTGAGAAGGTGAAATGTCTCCTCTGACGCGGTCTGTTTCTTTCCGATGTGCCTCCTCCCTGGTCTAAGGAGAGCTCCAAGCTTTTCAATGTCTTCACTGTCTGAAGGTAATAAACCATCTTTTTCTGGCAAAATAACTGGAGATTAGCCTTTATTTAATTAGCTCCCAGACAGTTTCAAGCTGCAAATAATGATTGCTAATGTAGCCTGCAGGCCAAGCAGAGACTGATCCCTTAATTCCATTACCTAACCCTGGGACCAGCCCCTCACACTGTTTTGAAGAACCAGCCTTCTTTTCACTATTTCTGCTGGGTTATTTTTCCCCCCTCAGAAACCTGTCATTTCTCCTAACACAGTGGCCTCACTGGTTCAACTTAATGGCGATGGCATATAGGAGCAGATCCACAGTGCCAGCTGGATGAATGTCCGAACTCAGGTTTGAGAGAGCTGCCTAGTCAAGTAAAAAAATTAGAGATGAAAAAGACCCATTAAATAACCCAATCCCCTCAGCAGCCAGTGCCAGAGCATTCCTACGGTGAAAGCTTACACTGGGCCAGTTCTGAATGACATTAACAATGTGCCTTCTCACGCTTTATTTGGAAGATGGGGCTGTCTTTTCAATTTTTCTTTGGTAAGTCTTTCGACTGGAATTTCATTTGACCAGAGTTACTCCATTTCCCTCAGCTACAGCAACCCCAGGAATAGGCTGTTTTCAGAGTCGATATAAATGTAGAGACAACAGTTAAAGCACTTTATTAGCCCAGCCATTCCAGCAATACCTGTGTCCCAGCTCATATGACGTCGGGGACAACGAACACACACGAACGTTGGCGGTGGAAGTGCCTGCATTAGAATCGCAGTTCTGTTTAATTGGGGGATTTATTATTGTTGTTTTCAGTGACTGTTATTTGTTAAATGCTTCCTGTGGGCCAAGTACAATAATCAGTACTATCCAAAAATTCTGCTAGCAAATGTATAAAATTGGTACTCTTATCTCTACTTTAGAACGTAAGGTTTAGTGATTAAGAGTGCAAGCTCTGGGTTAAATTGCCTGATTGATATGCTGGCTCTATTGCTTACTAGCACTGTGACCTTGTGCCTGTCTCGTAACCTCTCCATATCCAGTAATTTTTACCTGTAAAGTAGAGGTGATGACAATGAAAGATTTGTAAGTTAATAGCCTTGTAGGTTATTTTGAGGAATAAATGTGTTAATACATGTGAACTGGTCAGATCAGTGTCTGGCATGCAGCAAGCAGTTAACTGTAAGCAATGAACTATGGGTGAAGAAATTTGTTCAAAGGCATATAGCATATACATTTAAACTCTGGTCAGTTCTATTCCAAAGCCCATCCAAATGATCAACCATTAGAGTACCCTGGCTTTGTCAGGACAGTTAACCTGTCTAAGCTTCAGTTTTTCTCACCAGTAAAGTGGGGATAACACCATATCTCCTACACAGCCACTGCACAGCATAATGTAGGCAAAAATACTATTATAGAACATGGCCCAGAGCTGCAGATAATCCATAACAGTGAATTTACTCTATCTCTACATCTATATGGATAGAATATCTGTATTATACATCTCTGTGTGTGTATGTAATATATGTAAAATAAATAGCTATATAGCCAACTATTTACTCTTAAGTGTTTCTCATAATAGTGGAACTTTAGAAGGGTTCAAAGTATATTTTTTATTAATTTACTCCCATTTAAAAGAAGAATTGGATTAGTGTACTAGATAATTAAAAACAGTTTTCTTCCTAATAAGGTTTTATTTTATATTTTCAACATTCCAATGGTTTTAAGTAGGTCTTTTCTGGATTTTTTTAGAATAGCTCAAACAATGTTTCAAAATTACCTAAATACTTTTTCTTTCACAAATATAGATGGACCATAAGTTTGATTTTTATATCACAGAGAAAGACACAGACAGTTATAATCTAGCAGGAAATATTATGATATGTTTTCGCTGTTGTGCTTTTTTTTTTTTTTTGGTATGTGTGTGAGAAAGGGTGTGATGTCATTCTGTCTCCACCCCCTGTGAGTAAGCCCACGGCAGAGCTCAGTGCAGCGGCCCGCCTGTCACAGGGAGACAGTCCACTTAAATGCAGCTCCAGAGCTGCGGACACCCACCAGCATCAGTCCCCGTGTGAGGTGGCAAATGCAACATGCTCTCCAGCTTGGGGTGTCTACTTCTCTGTGGAAGTATTGCACTAGCCCTGGGAAATGCACAGAAATTGCCAAAAGGCAAGTAGCTCTGATGTTTTGTGTTTTAAAAAATAATTTTTGAGATGCTTGTTTTTAATTGTTGATGTTAAATGTGGTCTGCTTTACCAGATGGGGGTAATAGAGTTATATGGTGGAGAGTCAAAGTTCAGATGTGTGAAGGAGTTAAATTTTACTTTTCCCCACTGTGATGTGCTTTTTATTTGGATCTCTTTATTGCAAAAATGAAAATCAACTTATTAGGTTGAGCAGATGTTTCACAGAAGCTTGAATGGTATAGTTTCAAACTACAGTATTTGTATATTGAATCAAATTGTATAGATGGGTATTGCAGTCTGTTAAAAAGAGTTGTTTGGTGTTTTTATCCCCCTTCCCAGAGACTAAACCAGTACTATCTCAAGGTTTTAAAGAAGCTAATTCTGAATCCTTGACTCTTTGGTGTAAAGTTTACACCTACTGTTAGCTCAGGCAACGCAGGATTCTAGGAATGGTGTGTAGGGTCATGTGCTACCTCACAGAGACGCTTTGCTCCAGCAGAGTTTGACGGGGGTTTGATCGGCTGGGCAGGACACTCCCCCCTTTCCTGGCTAAAGTGATCTCATTTTAGTGTTGGTATTTTGTTTACAAATGTCATCAGAATAAAATTAGAAATTTGAAATTTAGACCCTTAAAGCAATCTTTTAGGCTCATCGGCACCGAAACAAGAGCTTTTCTCTCTTCTGTCTTTGAATATAAAAGTTACATGTGCTTTTTTGCTCCTTTGCAAAGACACTTTTCTAAGCCAACTCCAGGTCTGAGAAGGCTTTTTATGGCTGCAAACTGCTGTAGTCAGCAGGATTATGAAAAACAGGCTGAAACTTCCCATACAGCGATCATGGAAAATATTGGAGCTAGTGCAGAGCAACAGGCTTGTCAGAACCCTGGTGTGTATACAGTCAGAGAGAAAGATTGTTAGTGTCAGAATATCCAAAGACCCTTCCTAGGTCCTCCCTGTGTTTAGTTTACTCCAAGATCATCTCGTCCCAAGTGAAAATTGTCTCCTGAGTGTGTTACGAGAAAGTCGAATCTAGAATTGTGATGGCTGAAGGGTTTGGCTAATTGATATTTTACATGATCATGTAAAAAGAAACAAAAAAGGCAAAGTAAACCTTCTCAACTCTTATTGGATAATTATGCAAAGAAAAATAAAAACAAGTACACACTATTAGATTTTTATTTTCTATCAAGAAGTTTGTTCTTTAATCATAGTAGAAGTGTTTCAATAAATCATTCTGAACCATAAGCATTCAGAATTAATTGTTCCTGGTACTGAAATATTTAATAAGGACACACAATTTGAGAGGAACCTGGGAGTTTCCTCAGGCTCAATTTCTTACCTTGGTTTATTTTGCCTTGTACTCACCATGCAGGGATGACAGCCACAGTTTTCTTACTGCAGATTTCTATAAATTCCAAGCGATTTAATTATCATGTTCCAATCACTGGATACAAATCTCTTGACCCAATTTTCCTTTCTTTGTTACGGTTTAAAAAAAAAGTTGTCAAAACAGCCATGAAAACTTTGGTTAGTCCGTTACACTTTAATCTGAAATATTTTTATTCAGGCTTCTTTTGCAATTTTTGAAAATATCCATCATTTTGGTAATATAGAATAAATGGAAGTTTCCTTGTCTGTAATGCTGTATTTTTTCTTTACTATGAAAGCTACTGAGGAACTATCTTTTAGCTAAAGTTGCCTTTCTCAAATTTATCTCAGAAGTAGGTATACTGTCCTCATGGGGGATCGGCGCCAGCATCTGCTCTCCTCCAGTAACTTGGGAAGCGCTCATGCTTTGTCTGCTTCTGGAGAGTCCCAACAAACCTGGGGATTTTACAGGTTCTGAAAACTTTAGTTAAGAAACCTGTCCAATTTTTTAAACTTATTGTTTCCCAAACTCATTTGCCTAAGACTGCTTTTCTAGTGGAATAGCTATGATATCTTGCCAGGGGTATTCCTTCCACAGCACACCTTTGGAGAAATGCTGAAGCAAAGAAGAAAAAAAGAGGAGAACACTTTCTCTCCTTCCTTTCTACTTTAGAATCAGTGAAATACCATTTGTGTTTTAACAAAAGGATAGAATTTTGTAGCTGGAAGGGACACTAATGATCACCTAGTGTGGTGGTTCCCAGACCTTTGGGTTTATGAACCAGTAAAAATACACATGTATTTTTAATATCAGGACCTTCTTATGGAGGGGACACTTGAATTTTGCCATCCAAGTTTGTCAAAGGGGAAAGTTCCCATTGTTCATAAAAACAAGCCACTTTAACAGATTTATAAAATAAATAAATTTATGAAAATATATACTGTTCTTATTTTTCTCATTTCACTGCAGACTTAATGAACTTCATCACAGGCTAACGTTTGTATCTACTGACCTAGCGTAACCATGTATTTTACAAATAAAGGCACCCAATGGCAGGGATGGTTAGTAACTTTCCACACTGATGGCAGAACTGGATCCTGGGCTTCTGACTTGAAATTGTGTTCTATTTGAGATATATTACATAATGTATAGATATTTAATCTATATTTGGTTATAAGAAAAAGAAATACTTTTTAATAAGAAATCACTTGTTGTATGTCTTATGCCTGTTTGCATATCTAGCTACATACTTATAGAAAGTAAATTAGAAGAGTCTTGCTGCTTTTTAAAAGCTTAAAGTTAGAGGCTATTATTAACAGACTTCTCTCCACTTCTCTCCACAATGACTATGTTCTCTGGTAAATCATTTACCTTTGCTAAATCTCAGTTTTCTCATCTGTAAATTGGGAATAATGTTAATAATCTCATAGCATTTTAGAATTAAATGAGATAAGAAATGGAAAGCTTTTAGTAAAGAGTCGTATATAACAAGTACTCATTCAATAAATATTTATTAGGTCACAAGAAAGTGGGTTAATATTGAAAAATATGCATACAAATAATATGTGCTCTTGTGTCCAAACTGTCAGATAATCTCTCAGCAGATAGAAAATGTGGTAACAAGTTCTTGGCAGAAAGCTAGAGCAAGGGAATAAATATTGCTCTACAATGAGAGAAGGCCTGACCACTGTCAACACAGTGTTTGATTGTCTAGTTCAAACACTGCTCTTCTCTATGGAAATCTGCACCTTTGCCTTAAGATCACCTTTTCCCTGGGGACTGGTAGGGCCTCATGGAGACTCCTGGAGAGATCATATTGAAGTTGTTGTTCAGGAGAGAAATAAACTATAACATACAGGCCTTCGAGAAGAATTAACAATTGTTTCACACCTTTGCAAGTCCCTGTGCTCCCACTACCTATCAGAATCTATATTCTTGGCACCATAGAACTTTTTTCCTCCTGGAGTACAGGCTAAAATAAAAATCACAGAGAACACTATATAGTGACGGGAGCCAAAGAAAACTTATGAGACATGAGGGGCTCAACACACCTCTTTGCAGAAAATCCTGTGTAATCAGCCAGAAGGCAAAGGCTACTATTTCTAGCCGACTCTCAGTTCTCCTGAGGCACATGGGAGGAGAGCCACAGAGGCACATCCAAGATACAAGTGTAATCAGATGGGCCAACGACGTGAGGCTCTTGGGAGTGACTCTTGGCATGTGCCAGAAGACAGAGGCATCTGGCTCTTTGCCTCATGTTCTTACCTGACAAGGTAGAAAGAAGTCTCTGACTCTCCAAGGATAAAACACACAGGGGTAGATGATAATAACAATAACTCTCATAGCTATTAATAACTGTTATTATCATAGATCACATTCTTTGAGCTCATGTTGGTTGTGGTAATTTAGGGCTAAATATTTTTAATGTGGAAAATCTAACTAAATTCTCAAAGCTTTCCTATGAAACAGCTATTTTGTTATTTTCATTTTATAGAGCACAAAATTGTGTGCCTCAGAGTGTTGAAGTGATTTGCCCAGAGTCATAAAGCCAGCAAGTGGGAAAAGACCATACCTTTAATTTCTGTGTAGTATCACTTCCCTGCTCTATGTAAATATGTGTTAATTCATTCAAGTAACAAATTATAGTCTGTGTACATGCAGAGCAACTGAGCCTGGGAACACACAAATTGGCACCTCTCTGCAGGTAGCTGGTCAGTTAGTGGAAGACACAGGGATGTATGGGCATAATAAATGAGATCACCATCTGATTTGGGAGAAGTATAAACAGCTTTGAGAACAAGCAGAAGAACCCAATCTTGACAGAAGGATCAAGAATTATAAGACAATATGGCACCCAAGTAAAGGCCTAGAAGATAAATCCAAGTTTTGGGGCAAAGGATGGTGGCTAAGAGGTGAGCAGCCTTCCCAACATGGATAAGTGTAGGGCCAGACCCAGGCAGCCCCCAGGGGCCGGAGCTCAGTAGGTGTTAAAGTACTCAGAGGGGAAGCCAGGACGCAGTTGTCCACATGGGCTGCAACTTTGGCTTCCTTGTCTTGATCTACCTTGACTCCCCAAGAGTCAAGAAGCCCATCTTTGGAGAGAAGGGCTCCTACTTCTTGCTTTGTAAACTTTTCCAGCCACTCAACTGGGGTATGGCTCTCACTTGCCACAGAGACCTCTCAACCTCATTTTGACAAACCAACAATGTGTTACTCAAGGGCCTAGTTCCTTTCTTTAAAGGGTGACTGATACTTGGGAGGGCAGAGAGGATTTTTTTCATCTTAAGGCAGGGAGATTGTGGGTGAGGAGGGATCATTTGATGAGGAGTACAAGCCTAGGAGGAAGGGTTCTGCTATTACTTAAGTAATATGTATTTATGTATTGGTGGGACTGCATTCAACAGTACACTGAAAAAAAATTGTTCTACTCCTAAAAAAAAAAAGAAAAGAAAAAAACAGGCAAAATAGCAAGTTTGAAGCTAAAGAGAATTACTTTAGTATCTTTTAGAGTTCTAAAGTTTCTTGGCAGTTTTATTGATGTGTTTCTCTATTCAAGCACTATTTATTGAGCATCTACTAGGTAACACTGAAATTTACCCCTGTGATAAAAAACCT